TTTATTTATATATTTATTTACGAGTATTAACCATTTTAATAATTTTGTTTTTACTTTATTATTTTATTAACTATTGAGTTATTTAACATAACACATAATATAATATTCCCATAATATCACAACTTCTAGAAAAGTTACAACTTCGAAATTAAGTTAGTCGTCTCAATTCTGACTTCACCATCGTTCTCGAAATTTGAAATATACATAATATGTTCAAAACCAATCAAAATGAAAAATTTGCATGAACTAGTAACTAGATTATTTCAACATAAAATTTCACTCAAACGATTTTCGTCAAAATTTGATATTAAAATATCTTTATCAAATAACTACTACATGAAGCTCCATTTTTTTTTTTTTATTGCAAAGTACGACATTTAAAAAAACCTCCCGTTAAATTTTCAAGAATTTCTGTTTGGTCTAACAATTTACAATATTATCCACAGAATACCTACAGAATAAAAATTGCATACAAAACTCGAAAAATTAAAATGTCTATAATTAGCTCAAAAGTCGATCAAATGTTTTGAAAATTTGACCACGTCTAAAAAAAGCAAATATAACTTTTCTGTCAAAATGTCAAGTTTTTATGAATATATAAAACTAAATCACATTAAAAAAAACAAAACTGAAAATAATAAAAGAATAATTTTCATAAATTTACCGTCTTTCTGTTTTTTTTTTCAGTTTTGCACAATTATTGAAAAAATTACAAAAAAAAACCTTTCTTGATCACCAATTAGACTAAAATTCGATAAAAAATGTCTCTTAATGTTTTTTTATTGGAGCAATATTTATATAAGAAAACATAAGCCGTAAAATCTGGGACACTGCGTTGCCGTAAATATTAATTAATTTTAATTTTTTTGGTTTTTCCCAATTTTTACGAAAATTAACTTTGAATATCGAAAATCGACTTACTCCATCAGTGGCGAAATATTGAAAGGAACAAAATCAACTTGTCATCTTTCGATTGAAGTAATATTTTCGTGCAAAAACTCAACTATAACACAATAAAAACAATGAAAACGGTAACGCCGCCGTAAATATTTCCCGTTTTTTCACGATTATTTCGAAAATATCTTGAAAAAATCAAAAAATTGACCCGGTCAATGCGCTAACTAGAGACAATTACCTTTTAGTAAAGGTGCATGTAGTCCATACTTCGGAGCACGTTTTCTGGTGGAAAAGTTGTTCACAGATAGAAAAAAATAAATACAAAATACAAATACACACACATCGTATTGAAACGAATAGATCCCTAACCCTAGCTACGCCCCGAATCTAAAACGACGCATATAATGTGCGTAGTGTAGGTAGGTACCTATATTATTGTTACACAAATTGTATTCCCTCATTGTGGAATTAAATCGATTGTTATATTATTTATTTTTTAAGTAGCTACACGTAATCGACCTTTCGTTTATAACGTTTGTAATTTATAAATACATTAACACTGGCCGCCGTAATACAGGACAGACGTGGCAGCTCATCATAATTCATAATACAATTATTGTATTCACAACAACTAGGTAGTACCTACCTAAACTCTAAACAAACCCGTATCCAACAGTAACGCATACAGTAGTTGTATTATCAATAATGGGATGCAAACCGATAAAGAAAATATTATAATAATAATAACTTATGAATTATGATTATCAATTAGCTATGTATGTGTTTGTGCGTGTATTTTTTACGATGTGTCTTCGTCAGATCAAAAATAAAATAATTGTATTATTTGTTAATGATTTGAATATATTATTTGCGTTCAACAATAATAACAACACTAATAATAAAATACAATTGAATCGAACCATCGCCAATATCAACCGCACAAGAAGAATTCCTTGCCTATCGTTAAACATGGGAATTTAATTTAGAATATGTAGGTATTTAAAATAAAATGAATTATGAGTCATAGTTTAACTAGGTAACTACCTATACTGCAATGATTCATTCAACTCTATATGACCCACACTAAATATATGAATAAAACAGATTATATTTATATATGTATATTTGTATTATTTATTTATTTTACGAACAAAACAGGCTTGCGTCCAAGTGGTTGTGATACATATACAATTAAAAACAAAATAACAATTAACAACAAGCAAGCTGAAGAGCTATTTACAAATGGATTTATACATAGAGGAGAGAGGGTGTTTATTAGTTCATTGAACATATAGTCGGTTGGGCAGTGAAAAATACGAAAAGGAGTTCTATGGCAAGTAAGACGTGAAGGCACATTAAAATGAACAAGAGATAGAAGAGTGCGTGAATGAATAGCGGAAGAGATGAGATTGGTAAAGAATGAAATGTTATGAGAGTAACGACGGGGAAATTTTGAAATTCCGTAGGTATTTTTACGATTTTCGATAAAATTTGATTGATCTCAAAACGCTTATGAAAAAAAGAACTAATGCATTAAACTCAAATTTGTTTTTTAGACCACTAAAAAACTTATTATGTACACGCACCTTATGTTAAATTTCCAAGAATTTCTCCAAGTCATATAATTTTAATAACAGATACTTACCATATAAAAATACAAATAAAAATATTTATAGATAGCTTCAAAATAGCTAGAATGTTTTAACAAAATATAAATATTTAGTGAAAACTAAAGGTCTCTACAAACGACTTTCTGTCAGTGGCTGGAAATTAAATAAAACAAAATCGATGTACTGTTATTTTTCAATTTCTAGTAGAAAACATGGTTTGAAAAAATTAAAAACACTGAAATCGGTAATACCACGGCACGCCGTAAATATTTTCTGTTATACCAATAATTTTCTTTCAGGTTTTCGCCAATTACTTTAAAAACCCTTTAGAAAATTAAAAAATGACCTCTTCAATACATCAAATAGTGAAAATTACCTTTTTTTTTTTTAAAGTTTTTCACTGCATTAAATTCACAGCTCTAATAATAATTATAATAAATTTTGAAATTTTTTAACTAACTAAAACTAAATTAATATAAATAAAATACACGGCGTTTTTTCTTAAATTGTTACATCAGTACATTTTGGTATACGAGGTAAAAAAGCCACTTTTCTAATCAAACAGTTATTAATAATTGATTATGTACTAAATATAAATATAAAAATCAGAATATCTTGATTGAAAAGTAGTTTAAAATAAAATGTAATGGTTCCACTGAATTTGATGGGTACCTATAATATAACATTAGGAAATGATAGTTTTAACATTAAAAAATATATTTATGAAGATAGGATTTCCAAGCATGGGTAAACATAAAAATTAATTTTTCTCAAAATGTCACAGAGGACATTTACAGCATTCTTTCTAATTTATAATTTTATTCAATTAGCCAAATATGCTAAAAATAAAAAAAATATTAAAATCGCAACAAATTTTATCAATGGAGAACAAGATCGCCTAAGAACCTAATCGCATATTGTATTTTAGTTCATTATGTTCTATTGGATTACAATATTATTTTACAATTAAAATATGCACTGAAAAAATTTAATTTGCTTAAATCGATAAATTGTATGTATAACATTAGTTTAAATGCTTATAATTAGAACTCTGAATTTAATGCACTAAAAAACCTTAAAATATGGACTTAAAATGCAAAAAATTCACTACAATTCCAAAAATTATAGTATAAAATCTACTTAAAATGGTTTTTAATCCAATTTTTATACTTACATTGATATTAGTATATTATGCGCATAAAAAAATGCAATGAAAAATATTATATTTTGAATAAATTTGAATTTTGGCTGATGTACTGATATGCTACATTTAACTTGCCTTATTTTATCGAATCATTATCTTTACCTAACCCATGTACAGCTTATGTAAAATATTATTTTACAAAATATAAATTGAACGCATATAGTCTGTGTGAAACAAAATAATGTTTTCAAAGATATTAATTGAAGGAATTTAATTAAATGAACTAAAAAAGAAAAATATGACCTAAACAATTACAAACATCAAAAAATGCAAAGTAAAAATTGTATAAATGGATTTGCTGTTACATAATTCAAATTATGTACTTACAAAGTTACATTTCTCAATCACTATTAACAAGAACATTATCGGTTTTCAAATTTTTTCTAGTTTTACCCCATTACTAAGAAAAGTACATAAAAGATATTTTATGCACTAACTAGATAAAATATTTGACCATAAAACACACCATAATAATACTAATACATTCCTAACTATGCTCAGAATTTAAAAATACATACAAGTACATAATTTACAGAACCAAAACTATGATTCAACTAAAACATAAGCATACATTTTATCAATTTATTATATCAAAATTTATTTTATTATAACGAAATTGATAATATCTATCCTTGTTAAACCAATTGATTTCTAGATACTTTTAGAATTTAAAAATAATTTATGAAATTTAACAAAATTGGTTTTTTTTTTTTTGACATTTTATAAACATATTTATGACAATTTTTAATCTGTTTCATTTCAGTATATGATATGTTTAGTTTAGTATACAAACAGTTTATTATAAAATAAAATGCAATATTATTTATTTTTTAGCTATTTAATATTAGTAAATAAGAGTTGATATCTATTTCATAATATATAAATTTAGTATGGCGCTACAATTCCACAATTTGAAAAACCATGATATTTTTTGAAAGTACAAAATAATTTTAACATATGTGCGATTTGAATGCAATTTTCTTTTATCTACGACCTACTTAATGGATCAAAAATATTAAATGTAAAGTTTCTTTAGAAATTACTAAATAATACACTGCTCTGAATAAATAGACTGACAGTTTTAAAAACCTACTATTTCTAAAATAAATCTTTGTTTTATTTACCGAAAATATTTAAAATTCTTATCTAATTTTTACCCTCAAGTATACTAATGTCAATATGAAATTAATTTAATAATGTAGATTTGTTATATGACATCATTTTTAGTAATAATTACGTGTCTCCGTTGATAATTGTTTCTTCTATGTTTGTACTAGAATTGCTTATTTTAGTTAAAATTAAAATTATAAAATAAAAACAAAAATTATTATTACTATTAATTATAATAACTAGCACTAATTATATGATACAAATGACTGAACATTTCATTTCCTGTTGAAAAATCATATTTTGATTGCGAGATAAAAAATAATTTATTTGCAAATAGACAAAAAAGTAAATATTATAATATCACATGATTCATAAAAATGACTAATATTTCAATTTAAGGCACAATTTTCTTTAAAAATAAGTTATGTAAACACAATAATATGACAACAATAAAGAAAACAATGTATATATCTAATATATTATAAACCATTTAGAACGACCAAATTATTTTTTTTATTTTATTTACAGCAATATGTAAATAGGTAGGCAATTTAATAATATTTGATGTCTTAAATGAATTATATTATATTGTTCTATACATTTTGATAAAGTAACTATAATATTGCTTATTTGTGATGTGAATTAACAGAGTTTTAACATTATAATTAATACTTATTTTTTTAATTTATGTATCATCTCTATGTGTACATTATTATTAATTTTATTTTAAATTCAATTCAGTAAACTTAAAAGTAAGTAGGTAATAAATGTTTGCACAGTGCACAGTTTGTATACACAGCCATTTGTCCTAAGCTTTAAGCCCGATTTTTTCAACCAACTTGTCTACAGATTCGGCATACTTGATTTTAGCTTCGTCATTAGTCACACCTTTCTTACCATTCCATGCTTCCCATTTAGCCTTTCCTTTGAAGTCTAAAAATCCTGGTTTGGCTATACAAATAATAAATGTCAACAGTTACAATAGTATACAATGTAAATACTATTACGTTATAATAATATTTACACTAACAGTAATGACATTTTACCTGTATTAACATCACCAACAGTTGCTTGTTTGTATAACGCGTAGAGCTCCAATAGTTCATTGTCACTTGGAGTCTCTTTCAAGTTTTTAACTTTATTAACCGCGTCTTCGAAAGACTACAAAAAACAAAACATTTAATTGGTGGTGCAATAATTTATTGTATAGTGTTTAGGGTATAAGGTATATAATATTAGAAATTACCAAGAACCATCAAAATATTTGACATAGAAGTATTTTGTGCAGTCAATTACCGCAGGAATACAATAATCAATATAGTTTAATAACATTGACATTTAGAATCATGTGACCAGGTGGCTTACACAAATAATCGAAACAAGACAATGAAAATCGTATCAAATAAATAGATACCTACCAATTTTAATACAATAAACTGGTTGGTTTTATAAACCTTTTGCCCCTTGGTCTTAAATATAGCTGTGCAATATTATAAACGCATACCTAAGATTGCAATGTACAAAAATTATAGATCTAGTAAAATCCTTGAAAATATGAAAAAAGAGAAATCTATGTGCCGGGGCACTGGAAAATTGAAAATCCAATAGCGTAGATAACTGATTAAGGTGTACGTAACTGTGTAAGTATTCCCGTTGGGCCTTTACAGACCTTTGCAGGGCAGATAATGAGAGAATAACATTCAACAACGCCGATGTAGCATATTACGAGGTAGGTACCTATGCAGATACTCGGTTGGGCATATGTTTATTTTAAAATTTTCGGAAATTGTTGTACTCACCATGTTTCGTGTTTCGGGTGGAAGTGCCGGAAGTCGAGAGCCAAAAGAACGAAACTGTTCCGGACGGCGGAAAGTGGGTATATCGGACGTTCGCACAAGGACAATGTCGGTCGACGATTGATCACTGATAACGATTGTTGTGCTCTTGTGCGTGTGCGGCCGTAGAGACGGTGTGTTGTACGTGATAATGGCGGTCAGCGGCGGTGGGAGAAACGGCGGCGGCGGCGGAGAGGAAGTCCGGCCGTACAAAATACTGTTTACGTGTGCATTTCACATTTCCACCGGTTTGGTTTTTACATCATCACCGCAATGCGTATTACACTAATAATAATTTATCGAGTTACCTCTACCTACAATATTATAACGATAATATTATTCATTTGCACGTTTATCGTTATTGGATAGGTAGGTGCATAGGTATATGCGGGTATAATACGGCGTTCGTTTCGTGTCCGGGTCTGACATTGGACGGTAAACAAAGGTCATAATGTCGCCGACAACAGTAGACGGACAAATTAGAACGCACACTACGTTTTATGCTGGGATACCGACGGGCAACGGGGATAAACCGAGTCCGCTACACAGTTCCGTGGATTGCTGTAAATCATAAGCTAGGAAAATATTTTGACGTAGGTGACGTGACCGCTCGCGACATTCGACAGAAAATACAATTATAATAGAGGTAACGATCAAAGGTTATCCGTGTTCACGCTATTTTTTTCAATACATAATTCAACTACAGATCCGGGATGACCTATTAAAATAGTTCACGGTAAAAATATTCCGCTGTAAGTCTGCCTAACGAATAATGTTCCTTTGTTTTATAAAAAAAAAAAATCACTCGTTAAATCTTTTGTCCCAGAAAGGCAGGTCTTAAGTCAATTCTGTACACATCTATATAGTTTTTAACGATATGTATTGACGGTAACCGTAAAAAAAAGCCACGGGTAAAAAAAATCAACGGAAAAAAAAACAATCCGTATACTTTGTACTTCATTTTGTTTTTCCCCGACCAACCATTAATTTTCCCACCAGAAAATTTACTGAAATTAAAAATAAGTTGAATAAAGATTTTAGTAAAAGTATAAAAACAATATACATTATGCAATCAAAATTAATTAATATTAAAAAAATTGTTCTATATTACGTCAGTAAAAAATACATTCTTTACTATTATAATAATATAAAATACTGTTTCTATTATTATAGAATTGATACAAATATAATTAATAAGAATAACACTTAATGTAACTAATTATAATATAATAAATAATAAATAAAATGACTTTTTTCCGTGGCTTTTTTTCGTGAGCTTATTTTTACTACATTCGTATCCACGTACTACATCTTTTGTGCTATCGAACCGGTGAAAAACCCAGATTAGTCGAAAATAATGAAGTTTAGGTCTTACAAGAAAAAAAACAAGTAAGTCTGCAACTGATAACCGGACAAACGTTTGGTTAGTACATGACTTTAACTGTGGTTAATAATTTAATACGACATTTTTGTGAACTGTATTTTAAACTTTTTACTTTGTAAAAAAAAATTGTTATGTTTTGAAATTGAAAACATGTTTTTCTCAGATTGGGAAAAATTTACTTTTCTAGTTTTTTCCCTGTACTCTTCATGTAATATAATTGCATTTTAAAAAAAATATACATTTTTACACATTATACATTAATTTTGAAAATACATAACCACACTTATGCCACTTAGACAAAAAAACAAACGAACATACTTCGCACAATAGGTGGGCGACTATTTTAGGTGAGAAGTTGGGAAGATAGAGGAGAAATGTAATGAATAACTGTACGCAAAGATTAATCATTTCCAACGATAAACGATGCCGAGTGGACCTCGGTTATATATGTTATGAAAGGCCGTATTATTTAGGATATGAAAAAAATTTTCCGGTTTTTCTAAATGTTTTTTGAGAAAAATCAAAAAATGACCTCCTTAAAGTACCATTCCAGTCAGATTTCCTTTCAGAAAAAATGCTAAACTTGAAAATCAGAAGAAGATTTTCGGTAGAAAAGTTGTTCAGAGATAAAAAGTAATAAGTATCATTGTAAAACCAATACATTCTTCGCTTTGTTCAGAATCTGAAAATTGTATAAAACAAAATTTTAGTGAAAATTGGCTTCTTTCCTAGGACCAAAGAAATATTGATTATTTTTAACACTTCATAACAGTAACGGTGAACGAGTTTTGGGTTGTTGTAATAAAATGATTATTAAAAATTATATAAATCCTATTGAAATCTGAACAGACCCTTTGGGGACAATATTCTACAGTGTCGTTTTTGACGTTTTTAATTTTATTAATCGCGTATTTGTCAATTTTTTTTCCATTTCGTATTTGTGGTTTTTGATATTTTTACGTCATAATTTTCATTGTCCAGGAAATCGTAATGCGCGGTAAGTACTTATAGGCCGACACAATAAGGAACATCGAGCAGGTAGGTATAATAAAATAAAAAACCTTCGATCGTTGAAACGTGACAAAATAAAATAAACCTAAAACATTATTGTTTTCGTTCGTTTGGTTTTTATTTTATTTTTTTTTTTCTTTCTGCATTGGTTTTAACATTCACGATATATAGTGCATGTAATGTGATTTATTAAAATATATTAATATTCTATAGTCTATATATTTGTATACGGTCTGTATAATCTAGGTTAAATTTAAAAAAATTAAATAAAAACCACAACCGATGAAAAAAAAAAAAATCTTTTCACGTAGATACCTACGTCCAAATAACAAAATATGAAGGTTGGTGTGCCAATATATGCATTACAGACATCGAGAATATTATATTTCTATAGATTTTTAAGAACCGTATTCAAAGAATATTAATTGTATACAGTACATAAGCTCAAATAAATTGGTGGGAGGGTGCTTCGGGGGATTAGCTCCCCCAGAAATATCAATAGTCCCCTTCTCAAAATTTGTTTTGTTATTTTTCTTACACTCGTTGAATTGAATATTTCTAAAGACGTAATGTAAATTAATAAATAATAATACCAAAGAATTCGTGTGTGTGTGTAATATGCGTAGTGTATATTGTACAATATAATAAATAGGTTCTGAACGTACCTAACTATTATGTCGACTATATTATAGTGGAAACAGTTTGTAAGAACGTCTGCCCGGTAAATTTTATTGTTTAGTTACATTATGTAATTAGGTTATAGCGTAAAGCCTATTCGAAACCGAGCAGAGGAATTAAACAATTGTTTAGGGGTATATTATATACCTCTATAAACACCGAACGACAACGAATTCAAATATGAAATTTTAAAGTGTTTTTTTTTTTTTTTGCTTACATTGATTGATAGTTTATTAAAAACCACGCTTTTTATTACTATATTTTTACAGCTTTTATTACATTTATTTACTTTGTGATTATGTACAAGCATGCAGTGACGAAAACTCCGAGTTTCCCCCCAATAATTTTTATTGTCCCTATTATCCAACGCGTATTTGTTTGTTTGTGTTATCTTATCTATTTCTCGCAATACAAATCCGCGAATGTACTTTTAAAAGGATTCAAGAATATTCTAATATGAAGTTTGAACGTTTGAAACGCTTATTTCAGCATTTAAAGAACTTGTTATTAAACTTGTTGAGGGTCTAGTTTTTTTAAGTTTTTTAAGCGTTTTTTTGTCGATTTGATGTCCTGAACCCTGGTTATTAACAAAATCTAAACTTATAAAGTATTGTTATCAATATTAAGGCTGTCATACGAAAAAAATAAATCAATATTAAAGTTAATTATATTGTCATTATAATATTATTACGATATTAATGTATTTTAAAATGATACGTTTAAACAAAACAAATAATAATTTAAAACTATAATTATTATATTTTCATATTTTAATCATAGGTCAAAAAATCCCCCGCTGCTCACATCACTACAAAAACTATAAAATATGATATATTTGATATAGCATACTTTTAATAGTCTATAATATCCGGTTTATAATCATATTGTTGATTGGAGTTATGAAAATATTGTTGTTTTAATATATTATAAATTACAATATATACAAAAAATTGTGTTCTCAAGTAAAAAAAAAAACTGAACTATAAATCATGTGCTTATTGTGCTTATTATGTGTCATATTTACTTTGCTATCGACAACGCCACATGCTAACTTCTGTACATACATTTTTCTACTAATTTCATTATTTCGAAATTACATCATCACTGTACTTATAAATTATTCTTTATCTATAATTTGTCGTCATCTTTAAATTTGAAGAATGCATTTATAATGTTTTACACATACAGGGCGATTTTCATTATCACGAACCAGAAATTATTTTAGAGGATTTAAAGTTAATTTGATTTCTGTTTTGTCTAATCATTATGGAATCCTCTAAGCTTTATTTTAAAACCGTTTTTAATTTTTTCCTCCTACTCCATATACCTTAAATAAGTGCATACTTTTGATTTTAAAATAAGAATCTCCCTTTTGAACACAATTTTTGAATAAAGAATAAAGAATTTTTCTAAAAATGTTGGTATACATCACATTAATATGAGATTTACCGTTTATGAGTTATAACAGTTTAAAATTTAAACCGATAGAGAAGGGTCATAGATAGACAATTTATTGTTTTTGACTTCTAAATATAATGCTTCTGTAAAAATTTCAAGTCTTCATGAATATTTTTCATTGAATTGCAATAAAAAAACAAAATTAAAAAAAATAAAATCATTATTTTCGTAAATTTTCCCGTTTTTCATACGTGTTTTCTCGATTTTTCCTGGTTTATTATGAAAACCCCTAGTGAAATCTTCTTTATTAAAGTACCATCCCAAAAAAACTCCCATTCAGAAACAATGTTACACTTTAAAATCAAATAACATTTCTGGTAGAACTTTTATTCACAGTATAAAAAATAAAAAAAATAAATAATAAACATCATAGTAAAATCAATATATTCCTCGCTTCACTCAGAATCTAAAATTGTTGTTGCGCGCATAGATGATTTCTATTATTTCTACTATAGGTACCGAATAGTAGGTTAGATTTTTTTATGTCGTGGTTTTTTTTTTTTTCGGTTACTGGAATTAAACCTGTTTAAAACCACAAGCGCGGTGTCGTCCAGAATTCCAGATGGCCCCTATCTTCAATAATGTCTGTCAATTAACCCGAAACTCGCTTTGCTTTTAGAAAGTCAATGAACCGCGCGTGTGTTGATGAACAATAAAATCGTTTTTGTACAAATACCTACTGATGGGAAAATATTTAAAAGAATTCAATGAGTCACACAAATGCTATATTTAGTCAATACCGATAACAATAAAAAATATATATATATAAATTATAATAAGGTCAATAAACTAAATCGTAAATTAAATTCAATTAAGGTTTTTATTGAATATCTATTCATGTACCTTATCTTACTAGTACTTTATTACTATAACATTATGTTCAAACATTTGCTATCAAAATACCTAAATGCCACGGATAAACCTAATTACTAACTAAATGTGAATCCGAAAGCAAAGAGCTAACAGTATAGTTAAGTGGGCTTATAACGCGGTATTACAATAGTTATAAATAGCGCAAAAACGTAAGGATTTTTTAATAATTGTACCAAGCAAAATCTGTACCCAAAGTATATATGCATTGAATGTGATATGCGTCTTTTTAACAAATCGGTGTTGGTTTAATTATATTTTAAAAGGGCACCTAGATATCTTTTAGTCGACACTCGTCATTGCCATCTAAATTGTCTATATTTGAACGCGCCCTTTAACCAGTTTATGCTCCTAAATTTTCTGACTTTTTTGATATCAAAAATGTATTTTTCGATTTTTAGTGGTATACGCACTTTTAACAAAACTCAACTCCGTCGATATGCTCTAAACGGAGTAAACCTTCGTAATAATATAGGATATAATAATATAATATAGGACTTCTCGGACAATCAATCGATATTTCATCGAAATTCCGATTCCATTGAACTACATAAATATAAGCTGATAAGAACGATAAATGATTTTAGATAGAGCGTAGCGAGGGATTTATTGGATTTTTCTGTCTGAAAACAATTTTTCGACAAGAAAACTTGCTCCGATGAATCAAGTGTAGCACCTTTTCTAATAAGAAATTTTAACTAGTTGGTGCATTAAACTGATCGGTTTTTTGATATTCCGAGCGGTTTTCAAAATAATCATGAAAAAAACAGAAAACAAATTATATGTAACAGTGTTACCTATTTAATTGTTTTTAATTTTTGTGAACTATGTTTTCTACTAAAATGATTGCTTTAATATCAAAAAATGCCTAGAGAGTTTTTTTTTGTTGCATTTGTAATCTAATCAATGAGAAAGAAAATCGTTTTTTGATTTTCCCTTTAGTATTTTAAATAATTAAGCAAAATTGAAAAAGAACGGGAAAATTTACAAAAATATTAGATATTTTAAATTTTGTTTTTTTGTGGTAAATCAGTTAAAAACAATCTTAGATTCCTTGAAATTTTGACAGAGAGCTTATATTTGTGTTTTTCTAGACGTGATAAAGTTTTCAAAACATTTTTTGTGCTATTTATATTGGTTTAAATTTTCAAGTTTTTTAGATAACTTTTATTTAATAAGTACTCTATGTATATCATTGTTTGACCAAATCGAAATACTTGCAAATTTAACAAGAAATACATTATGAATCGTACTTATTGGTAAAAAGAATTAGTGTTACATATAGAATTTTTAGAGCTTTAATATCAAATTTTGACAACAAATACAGTCTTTCAAATCGTTTTATATAATCGAACTTACGAACTACCAATCATTTTTCGTTAGCATTGGTTTATCATTGCTTACTGATATAAATTAAATTATCTATAACAGTGGCTACACTCGTTCCCATTATCCTAGAACAGGTTTTTAATTTCTCGGTTACATAATATTTTTTATTATAAATGTAAACATAATAAAAAATAAAATGTGAAATTAATTATTAATGTCACACACCTAAAATTTAAGGCGTTATATATAGGCAAATTTTAATACATTTTTGGAAAAAATATTTAAATTCACTTTAAAATAACTTAACAAGACGCACTCCTCAATCGTCATCACAAGAAGATATTGTGAAATCATTCTAAAGTTGTATTGCGTTTCAAATAATGTTATAGGTATCTACTTTAAAATATATAACATTATTTTTATTCGATTTTAACATTTCACAACTAATTTACATATAAATGCTCTCTCGTATTTTTTCCTTTTTTTGTATACTTCTCTAGAAATATCATGGAAATATGAATAGAGAATAACCTAGCTGATGTATATCAAAATAATAATAGTAAATACTTATCAACTACCTAGTTTAACTTGTATACTTATTCAAAACAAATTTATTTTACAATCGTAAATACAATTTCGTTTTTTACTTCGTAGGTACCTATTTAAAATCGTATACAAACATTTTTATTATTTTTATCTATGTGATGAGTGTGTATTAGTATTTTAGGTTTATTCCCCACTTATAATTTACTTATACTTACACTTTTTTAGTTATTGTCCGCCAATATCGAGAGAAATTTATATATAAGTTAGAGGAGACAAAAAATATTCATAAGCGTTGGCCCCTTTTAGGATATTAATTTTGAAAAAAAGGTTTAATCGATTATTAAAAATAATTTCGAAATGTTAATTCCAACTGTATTGTTTTATGATGGATATTCTTTAAATTTTCCGTTAATAGATTAAGATAATATTATTATTATATCGTGAGTCTTTAACATTATAGACATTACAGATAAAAATTACTCGTATAATATACACATGTCACACATAGATAGAGTAGTGTACAAAGGAATAATTTTCAGAGCACGCGCATTTAACACCCGCCCCCTAAGTGACATAAATATTGATTTAAAATGTATTTTAACGGTACTATACCTAGATGTTTAAGATTAAAAAGATTGGCATTTTGTACAATGAAAAAATCGGCAACTTTTTTTATAAAATAATATATTTAACTAAAACATATCAATCTCTAAATAAAGTTATATTCTTTAATTTTTTTCACAATATAGCCATTCGTTAATAATTCGCTTAATAACGTTTTAAGCTTTTTACGATTAATCGTAGACATTTTTAAATAAACCGATTTTTCGAAATAAGATTTTTATATTAAAAAATGTTCAAGTTAAAGTTTTATAAAAATCTTTAGTTTTTATTGACTTGATGTATTAAATATCCTTTTATAATAACACATATTCTAATGAAAAATATTACATATTATATTATACATAATTTTCACGTAAATTTCGTTAACATTTCTTGTTTTTATAATAATTTACTAATAATAAATTCTTATTTTTTAAACACATATAACAATTTTCTCTTTCGAATTTCATAAATTAAGCGTATCTGCCAAGGAAATCTTCGACATTGTCAATATATTTCTGTTGGCATTCCTCTTTGGATGTTCCTTTTAAATTTGTCCAGAATTCCCATTTTTTCGCTGCTTTCAGATCGAACAAACCGGGTTTACCTAAAAGCCGAACACAAATTGTAAAATATATGATAATGATTATTCGTTAAAAATAATTTTTATTCTATGCAAATTAATATTGCTTATTAGTAGGGTTCGGATGTTTATGCACAACAAATCATAAAATATGAATTTTTAGCTTAAAAAACCAAGATAGTCTAAAATATGTACAAAAAAATATATTTTACCTTAAGTATTTAATTTGTATGAGTAGTTTTTTTAACAGTTATTTTTCTTTATTATTTTTTTAATATTACATATTAGTTTACAATGAAAGCGTTACACAATGATACAATATTTGTATTAATTTCTTTAAATTTTAAATTGTTTTTAAAAAGTTCAAAAATGTAGGTGTTGAAATATGCATTTATATTCATAAAAATCTCAAAATATTCATTTAAAATACAGAAGCAATAGAATATGCAAAAATATGCAAAATAAAAATAGTATTATTTGATTCAGTAGAACATGAAACATGAATTAAATTTGTATCGAGGTCGGCATTAAATTGAAAGATTAGAAAAAAGATATGCAATTTTATGAACATCTGAACGCTACTTATTAGATCAGAACGAGATAGTCATAATCTGAATCCATGCGATTTACTATAACATAATAATATCGTCTATAAGATACCATTCATGATATTTTGAATAAGTCCTTTTAATTTTTATCGTCGAGTTTATTGTATTTAAATTTCTATAATAAACTATCCATTCGGAATAAATATTGATTGAATATGATAATAGTTATTCATAGTTACATCAATGGTTTAAGCGGTTTGTACAAAGAATTGTATTCGTTTTGCATTAAATGTCATATGTCAAATGGTCACGCTTAATGTGAATCGAATAAACATATATTATTATAGGATAGAATTAGAACTAATTTATTATTCAAGGCGTTCACATTATGGACATTAGACATGGTGACGTATGAAATTGAATTCAAAGTTTTTATTGGACATTAAAAAAGAAAACAATTTTATACGTATGCGTACGTCCCGAATAAAAACAGTAACCACATAAAGAGGGGAAAACATTTTCAGGGGAGTGTGGTATAAAAATATTTGTAGAGGTTTTCACAATATTCAGCGGAACTAACGTGTACCCGTTTCTACTTACTGGTGGTGTTGTCTCCGATAGTGGCTTGTTTGTAAAGGCCGTAAAGTAGCAATAGCTCTTCGTTGGTCGGTCTCTTTGTAAGTGATTTCACTTTTTCGGCGGCCTCATCGAAACGCTATAACAAATTAGAAAATTAGTCATTACATTGCCGTGTCCATGTGTGTACGTATATTTTGTAAAAAAAAAAAAAAAAATGTAAAAGTATTGATGATAGAATCGTTGTGGAGAAATAGAAAATTATAATATTATATAGATAAATATAGGGAAAGGCGCAAATGATGGAATTCGCTTAAAAAATGTCCGTAACAACTAATAATCATATATTATATGAGTATTAAGTCGTTTTAATAACTATGTATAGTGACCATAATGATATGTAACGCTTTCCGCACAAAAGGAAAATCTCATTATTTTAATAATATATGACGTGCACGCGTGCTGGAACAATTAAAAAATTAAATAATTAAAAATAAATTTCAGTGAGAAAATGTTTTTGAAATGTATGTTTTAGGCACAATTATTCTTGTTCCACGACGGAATTATATATTAATAAAAAGTTGTCGACCTCCGTATCGCAGACTCTCGTAATATTATTCATTACCACATTTTGAAGGACCAATATGCTGTATTGATAACAATACGAAATGTACAGGTAGCTAGTGATAAATGATGATAATATTATTATACAAAACTGCACTTCCCGGTGGAGGACAACTTTAAAAGACGAGAATTTGCAGTGATAATTGCTGTAATATCGATTTTTTTTATTGATTTTTTCGGTAACTATAACCCGAAAAAGAAACGTAATCTTTTTCGTATAAAGTTTCAATGTTGTTTTACAGCAGTTTAGGAATATTATTTTTTTTTTAAACATACTTCGGGTCGGTTACCAATATAACGTCAAATTATAATGTTATATATTTTAAAATGTAAAAACCGTAGGTGTAATTAAAACAAATATTAATTAATTATGCTGCTTATATTATCCCTTTTTAGATGTGGTACAATTTTCAAAACATTCCGGCAATTTTTGAGTTGTTTAAAATGTTCGATTTTCTTTAGTTTTCATTTAGTGGTGAATAAAATTATTTTAACCCAGTTCGAAAATTTAATGCAACGTTTGCAATAAGTTTAACAGCTTAATAATAAAAAGGGAAAAAGAAATCGGAGACAAAATGTATAGTAGGTAGTTTTTTTGAATAAGCGTTTTTAAGTTCAAATGTTGACAATAATCATAAAAATCAAAGCTACTGAAAACTATATCTCATTCAAATATCATACCGAAGTTTGTAATTTTAAAAATAAAAACGAAATATTGTACTAGTACTGCGGCGCGATTTGAATCACGCAGTTCACAAAAAAACGGGTGGACGGGTCGTGGGTGCCTGGGTGTTCACATAATATTATGCAATGTAATTGCACATTTTAACTCCAAAAACACAAAAATAAATTCATATTTTATGGCATATTTAGTTAACTATTTTCTCTATTAACCATTTTAATATAACACAAAATACCTATTATACGATCGTAATGAACGGCTAAAAATTATGCGTTTTGACACAGTCATCGTTGAATATTAAAAAAAAGCACGTTACCATGTTGTTTGTGAATGATATTCGTTTCGTAATTTAAAATATACAAAATACAAAGTGCCAGTGCAAAACTTCGACAATACGTCGAAGAGTTTTCTAATACAGTTTTTCAAACCGACAGAAAAACACTATTTTGTAATAATTATTGTGACTAAGCAAATTGAGCAAATAAGCGTTTTCAAATGACACAACATTTAAGTGCAGTTAAAAGCCTTAGTAACTTAACAAGAAAAGAAAATAACGAAACAAATATTAAAAAAAAAAAAATCATTCGAAGATAAGCATTGTTGTATTACCTTATAAATCCTACTTTTTAATAATATTATTAAACGAAATCGCCATGACGTATAATTATAGTTGGCCGTTCATATCACTTACGCCACTATAACCATATTAGCAATACAAATTGTATTTGTTTCGAAGAGATAATTACAACGTTAAAAAGATTCTCTTACGAGTTGATCGAAAAATCGACTGTTTTTTGTTTTTTTTTTTTTTTACAACAGATCCTACGAAACGTGGTAGTGGCGGTAGTTGTGACATGGCGGTATACCGACAAACATAAACAATTTACCTACTGATTCGTGGTCGGTCGAGGTAAACCGCACGAACAAACATTTTTGTCTCGACCGAAAACCAAGAATAAAATACGAAAACCCGGCACCTTAAGATTGACGTGCGTTATCCCGGCATCATTCCGACAAAATAATATTATGTTATATAACACGTCAAAAAGTGTAAAATATTGTTATAGCGGCACCATTATAGTTTAAAATGCCCACGTAATCAAACACCCGACGAATAACTGTGCATACATAATATATACCCAATATAATAGGCGGTAACAATGTGTGATGGACATTTCATTTGAGAGGACACATTTTGATAATGTCCTCCTAGCGATTAAAATTAGCGATGGTGTCCGCGATGAAACGAAATGTATTTGTGGGTTAAAAGAGAAACTGCCGCAATCTTATATACGATTGATCGTATAGAAATCATTTATTATACTACGACGACTGCTCCCTCTCACCCACGGAGTGATAAATTTTCAATCGCAAGTACCTATATTGTAATATTATACAAGTATCGACAGGCCAATGGCCCGACCTAACCGCAGGGACGACCGAGGCGGTTGCCCTCGGGACGTACACGTTTTTTGGGGATTTGCGTGTGTGATAGGGGCGCTGATGAACGTCAAGTATTTGGCAGACGAACTATGGTTAATACTGAATCAATATAAACGTGCTCGCGAAGCAGACTAAATAGCTAGTCGTTCACGTCAATCCACTGCGATCCATGACGCGTCACCTGCAGTGGCAAACTGATAATATTGTAACCGTACCAATTTACCATTGAATAAATAGCTATACATAATAATGTATATACATAGTACCTAGGTATACGCTAAACAATCACTGTACAAATTAATTCATATTTTCATAGACACGTGTTGGATATAAGCAAAAAATGTAAATACAGGTATAATAATATACCTGGCGGTGTGGTGTAAGTGTAAAGTTATTTAGTTTAAAATTAAAACGAAATTTTCAATGTAATAAAACGTGGGAGGGTTAATATTTTCTAAAAAAAAAAAAAAAAATAATAATAATAATAATAAATTAGTTTAAAATACAGTCACAGCACTGTTTTGGTGACAAAGATTATAATTTCTAGTTTCTATTATAGAAATGAAAACAATGATTTGCTTTAGAGCGTTTGGATGTGTAGTTACGCCACTGCGAAGGGCAACGATAAAATATCCAAACCGCTGGGAGCGTATTGTAGGTATTTTATACAATTATAATTCTATGATAATTGAACCGAAATTCCGTATCTAATTTAAAGTCTTGTGAAATGCGATTAAAATCAGAATACGATTCGTCGTTCACATAAGTTAACAGTAAAACAATCGCGATTCGCCATTGCTGTAACCAGGATTGTTTTATACAGAAAACATAGAGAGAGAGGGGGGTACTTCACTTATATTTATGTAGTTTAATGAAAAAGATTACAAATTGTAAGAGATAATTCATTTTTTTTTTTTTTTTTTTCATAATTCGGTTCCTGGAAGATTAGGTTCCACCACGAACAAACGCGTGAATACCAGGATACGCCACTGGTTGCTATACAGAAGTATATAAGTTACCGATATCATTTAAACATTCTGTTTTACAAATAATATGGGTAAAAAGCGTGTTGTCATTTCACAATCATAGTGTGGAAACGTGTACACGTTAAAATAAAATACGATCGACGAATGATATTTGAATAAAATGATCGGCGATCTTGGAAATGAAAAAAAAATATATCAATACTATATTATTTGAAAATATAAATAACTGCGCCGATACAATTAAAAATAATAATAATAATAAAAAATTAAAAAAGGAAATTTATGATGATGATATTTTAGTAGTACTTTCAATGAGAAAAATATGCAAATTTTAATTTTTCAACGAGTGAAAACTATACTGTTTTTTTTTTTTTTTTTTTTCAATTAAAACATTATTATTTACCGTAATTTTTCGTTTTACAGTATAATATTATCAATGTTTTACCTCTTGTAACGAAGCCATGATGTCTTCAGCAGCTGTGTATTCTGTAGCGATATTCTGGTTGTCGTGTTGTTCGGATGCGCGAACGAAAACGAATAAACTTCGCCGTGCGATAGCTGCTATCTATATGCGGTTAACGCTGATTGTATCGCCACGGAGCGAAATGAAAACTGGTTTAAAAACCGTGTACTTTTGCCCGTACTTATAGACTCGCATTATTATTATTGTAGCTCACACCTGTTTAGTGCCAATGCCTACTACCACGTCACGGCTGCGGCGGCGATATTAGACAGTATATGATAATAAATTATTGTAATAACAACAAAAAAAAAAAAAAAACAATAACGAACGCTAAAATGTTGTACACACACACACACACTCGTTATTCTTGTCGTCGTAGGTTCGTTTTTTTTTCTTCTTCTCATTTCTCGTTACCGAAACCTATACTACCTGTTTAACAACAGGACAATATTAAAATAAAAATGATTCCAACTTTTCTTTTTACAGCGTTTGTATGGTATTATTAATTTCAAACGTGTAAACTTCTCTGAGGTCGTGGTGTAAACTATATAATAGTAGGTAGTTTCATTTCAACTCTAGGTGTTTATACCCAAGTGTGTTTACGTGCGAGACAAAGTCCCAATCATCTCATTTCCGCGTGTAACAAACAGGAAATCGTCAAATAATAATAATAATAATAATAAAATTGCTCGACGAAATCTATTCCGAACAGAAAACCCGCAGTCTTTATTGTACTTATCAGTATACCGTAAACAGGATTTATCAAAGAGGAGGGGTCGATACAAACATAACAAATTAATTCATTTGACAGCAAATTACACATTATACAATAATTCATCCAGTTCTTCATATTCGTCTCATGGCGGCAACGGGAACGAGGTATAATTGAATCACGTGATTCACAAAAAAAAAAAACGGTCGGATGGGTCGTAGGTGTTTGGGTGAGAGTGGCTATACTGAATTAAAGATCTTTATTTCGTTATAATATTATATAAGTTTAGATTAATTGTTTGTTAAAATAATTGGTTATCAAATTTTAGTCAAAGTTATAGTCATTTCTTATTGTAATTTCAAGATTGAATACATTAAAATATATTAATCAAAATTGTTTTCTATTGTGAAAACAGAAAAACTGAAAATTACTCTGTAAATGTAATCTCTACAAATATTTTGTGTATGCGTATGTATATAGGTATGTTTATTACTTATTTTTGAACTTTTCTATTATTAGATATTTCTTATTATTTTTCCTTTTTTTTTATCGTTGTTAAGTATAGAAGTTTTTTTAAAATTTTCCAGTAAACACGGAAAATACAGGAATGTCGGAATATTATTATCAGCTTGCGCAATTATTTTATTCTGGTTTATTCGGCCTCTACAGAAACGGTCGCTTTACAGCCGATCCTTCATCTATTATTAAAATCGTCCAATTAGGTTTTCTTCCTAAAGTTTCCTAGCACGTATATTGCCACGTCTTTTCACCTCATCGTTTGACCTTCCCGTAGGTATTATTTTAAAAGAATAACTATATGCGGCACTATATACGTTATACAAATTTATTTCGTAGACAAATATAATAATAAAAGGATGTCAACATTGCAAACATTATTATACCTACCTATGCGTGTTGTTGGCAATTATAGTTGAGTAGGTTGTTATAAAGTTTATAAAGTTTAACGAGTGAAAAGTTAAAGTTCTGTAGTATGATAATACTATAATAGACACCGAGAAAAAGTTTGACATAGGTAAAAAAAAAAAATCGTTTTCTTTTTCTTTTATATACGTTAGGTGCAATTTACTGTTATGTAGACCAAATCATTTTAAGATGTATCGTACAATTTACAATATTTCGTTATTTGTCCATTCATCGTTTTACGCTAAGCATTACTGTTACCGTCTTACAGATATGTAAACTTGTTGAGTATAGTAATTTATTTTCCTTTTATGTAGGTGTTAGTTAGTTAAACGTTTTTGTAAAAATTTGAATATTCATATCGTATAAGTAATACGTAAACATTAGTATTCATAAAAACGTCGTTTACGTGTTTAAATGTTTGAAAATTACGTATACGTATGTATGCATTGCACAATATACTTAGGGGTGTACTGAACCGATCGGCCGGTCAGCGAATACGGATTGGCCTGTTGCCCGCATTTGAGTACGTTATCCTTTCAGGCCCCTCGCTGGGGTGTCAGCAAGTCATGCGTTGCTTTAGGACGGGCCAGTCTATATGAGCATATGGTATATTATGGTCTATGGTATCGGTGCGTCATTAATTCCGTTTTATTTTAGTTAGGTGTTATTATCCGATTGCAGAGATAAACAACATGATGTGTCTTCTTCGTGGCGTATCATAATGTCATTTATAATTAAGTAGTACCTAATGTAACTATAATTATATTGATCATAATCTATGGTAAAATCAATACATTCATCGCTGCGCTCGGAATCAAAATTATATTATTCACTATTTACATCGGTATTAATAATTTGAGTTTTTAGTGATTAATTATATGCAACGCTTTTTACAGAGTTCTTTATATATTACTATTAGTATTATAATTTATAATTTATTTATAAGTTTCGCTTATTATAAATATAAATCTTTCTAGTGTGGCCATAATTAATAATTTATTATTAAATTTAATTAATGTACATTTTGATAAACTTTTACGGATAAATAACAATAATAATGTGCATTATACTGTGATAACACATTGCTACCAAGTAGCCAGGTTTAAGACTGATTAAGATATCTTAATTTGTGATCGTGACCGTAACCTATACAAGAACTGAGCTGGGATATGTGTTTAATTTCTCTCGCCTTGAATTTATCTGAATATACAATCAAATTTAAAACAGTCCTAATAGCTAATGGTGGCACGAAGTATTTTCACCTTGAATTATCGATATAATTTCTCACCCACCCTAACCCAAAAATATCCCCATTCTAGTTTCCGCAATCTAAAGTTCTTTTAATTACTTTTGTTTTGTAAAAATACGATCATTTTGGTTATATTTCTTTTTTTGATTTTTTTTTTTAACAGAAAAAATAGGAAAATTTACAAAAAATAAAGTTTTATTATTTTTAATTTTGTTATTTTGTTATAATTCTGTTAAAAATATTCGTACAGACTTAACATTTTGAATGAAAAATTATATTTGCCTTTTCTAGACACAGTTAAATTTTCAAGACATTTGAACTTTTTTAAAGCTATTAATATTAATTTCAACTTTAGAATTTTCGTAATTTTTATTTGGCAGATACTCTGTTTTTATCATTGTTTGACCCAAACAAAAATACTTGCAAATCTAACAGGAAGTACATTATAAGTCATAATTTTTGTTAAAAAAAAAAATTGAGTGTAATGTAATATTACTTTTTTTTATTACATTTAATATAATTTTTTGATGAAAATCGTAAATATTATGGCCTTACAACATGATATCATAAAACATGATTTCATGTTTTTTACATGAACTTCGCTCAGAATGGTTTTTTAGCAAAGGTTTATCGGTGCTTATAGATGTAAATTAAATGACTAAGTATATTCCTTCTTTGTTTTCTGTTGTAAATCGTTTAATTCGTTAAATTGTTTTAAATTAAGAAACTCGATTTTGAGACTCAGAGACAAGAGACTCAGTTGGAAAACTGTTGAGCTTATTATATGCATTTCACATTTTTGAATTACTTTTTTCTACAACAGTGACACACCTGATAGAAATATTGGTTATTTTTAGTCTTTTTAACACGTCTACAACATAACTACAAAACTTTTAGAAAAAAATTAAATTTGTGTGGTTTATAGTTCGCTTTTTTATATTATACACATTTGAAGTTAAGTACCTTCATATCAAAGAATATACTTACAAAACAAAAAAAAACAATTATACAAATTAATATCTATAATAAATAATAATAACACTTATTAATATATGAAGCGATAATATTATAAACAAATATTGCAATTTATTGATTAATTTTACTGTAATTTTATAGGTAGGTAGGATGCATTTAGAAAAAAATTATAATATAAAATTGTTGATCTGATAATTTTAATCAAATAAGCATAAAAGTTATTGAGCCAAAAAAAAGCGTAATGTTTAATAGAAATATTTTTTTAATATTAAGGGCCTACGGCTTTAGCATTATTGTTTTGGTTGGAGACTTTCCTAGTACTTTTTAAATAATAAATGCTGTAAACAAATTACGAAATATCAACGGTATTCACGCAACACTCTGGTTTCTGTCAAAATCTATGGCACACAGATAAATGAAAATTGTATTACTCATTTTTATGTAATAATTTTTATTAAGTCTTATAACATTTCGAATCAGATTTCTGGTTTTCCTTCATTCTTTAAGAAGTCCTTTGAACGATTATGTATAAATCGATAGGAAGAAATAAAATGCATACGTTTGCTTAAAAAAAAAAAAAACAAGAATTACAAAATGATATACTGGTTCCGAAGTAGAAGTTGTTTTTAATGGCTAGAAATCCGAGGCTGACTGGTATTATGACCACTATACCAGTTATTCAGGGGTGGACTAGCTCGCTGCGACGCCGTGTAAATTTCCCGGTGTGCCAGTCCCTAATTTGGCCATTTATCCAGTGATCGTAGTTAACAAAATTAAATAAAAAATATATAATTCAAATTTCGTTTACGATTTTTCAAGACATTTTCATTATTATTAAAGTTAATAATCGAGGCCCGTAAGTTCATGCATTAAAAAAAAAATCATTGAAAACATGCAATTATGCATTAAAATAACAATATGCATAACAATTCAGTTTTTTAAAAAATTAATTTTGATTTTTTGTTTAAACTATTATAAATTATGTTTAATTATACTTGACTTAAATTTTTCCCATCTTTATCAATCTAGATTTGGTTACGACGCTTATCTTGCCTATCCACGCTATCCACGACTATTAAGATTAAGATTATGGGAGAGTAGAGAGAATTGACCGGGTATACAAGTTTGTTGCGACAAAAATTAATTTGATCGATAAAAATCATTGATTGCGATATCGGTGCAGATAGTGGTGGCCATGACATTGATTTTATAGTACTACCGTAAACTCATAAAACCCATACAGTCATAAATAAACTAAAAAGAAAGCTAATACTGCTAAAGGATGTGCCACTGTGAGGAGTTGGGGAGGTAGGACGCATAAGGTTATTTAATTTATATATGTAAACAACGACAAACCATAGCTA